TTTAGTAGACCGAACTTGCTTGTATTAGTCAGCAATAAGCGACGCCTGCAAGATCGTTGAACTTTATTTCAACCTCGAATACCACAGCCCGTCAACAAATTGAAGTGCGCATCAAATCTCGATTGTCTATAGGGTTATCTTCAGTCAGAGAGTCTTGGTATCGTTTTCTCGGCTGATTTCTATTGTCTATCAAGTGAATGACAATCGACTGCGGCTTGTTCTTTACTCTTGCTATCTTGGCCTTTTCTACTTTTGCTTGGCCCCAAGACATAGAACATTTCGTCGACGCTCTAGTGGCGGGGCCATTTGTTTCTTAGTTTGGTGCCATTTGATAAGGATATACCGATTGCAATGATGGCATTCCATAGTCGCGGGGTACTCTTATAAGCCCTTTAGAATTAACTTTGTGCTACCAAGATCTAGCCTCTTGGTCACTGTAGTCTATAGATAAGTATGGGTTGGTACCCTTGCCAACTGCGGTACATTTTTACTATATATGAAGGACACATTTCCCAAACGTGAAAGTTGTTTTTCTCAATAGACACAGTATCACGTCTTTCTAACGACATTTCTATATTATTCAGGTCAATTCTGCCCTGTATGATCTCATATTCATTTAGACACATCCTATCATTACTCCATCATATAATAAGACATGGCTAGAGCTAACATCGTTGAAGAGGTTCCTGGGCAGTCAAACAAGCCTTTGTCTAAGCCAGCTCATGCTTTAGAGTACGTGCAGGTTGCACATGAATTGGAAGCAAACCTTGAGGATGGACTAACAGAAGCTGAAGCTGAAAGACGTCTTGCACTGTATGGCAACAATGAACTCGATGAAGGACCTGGTGTTCAACCAGTACAGATCCTTATTCATCAAATTTGCAATGCAATGATCTTGGTTTGTTTACTCCTATCCATACAGTCAATTTCCCTTTACTTAACCAAGTTTGTCTACAGGTCCTAATATTGGCCATGGCCGTGAGTTTCGGCATTGGTTCATATATTGAAGGCGGTGTCATATCGGCAGTCATATTTCTCAATATTGTGATTGGCTTTTACAATGAGTTCAAGGCGGAAAAGACTATGGATTCTTTACGTTCCTTGAGCTCACCTACGGCACATGCTGTGAGAGAAGGGGGAATCCGATCAGTAGCTACTGTCACAATTGTTATTGGCGACATGGTTGAGGTCAAAACCGGTGACACAATACCAGGAGATATGCGGTAGGTGCCCAGAACAGCCTCTCTGTCCTTAGTCTATGCTAACAGACTGTATGTAGATTAGTTGAAAGTATGAACTTTGAGACCGATGAGATGATATTGACAGGAGAATCGCTGCCCATTGAAAAGAATTCTAATGCAGTTTTTCCTGAGAATGCCAGCGCGGGTGATCGTCTTAACGTTGCTTTTAGCTCCACTACTGTCACTAAAGGTCGAGCACGCGGCATTATATTTGCAGTGGGTATGAAATCACAAGTCGGATCAATTGCCGTGAGTCTTCGACAGCAGAGGCGTAAAGTCCGCGAGGTCAAACGTAATGAGGATGGCAAAGCTTTGCCGCACAGATATGCCCAGGCTGGGATTCTTACCGTGTTTGATTACATCGGCAACTTTCTTGGCACAAATATTGGTACTCCATTGCAAATGAAGCTGGCCCAACTTGCTTGTGGGCTATTCTTCGTCGCCGTCATCTGTGCTATTATCGTGTTAGCTGCGAATGAATTCTCCAATAACCAAGAAGTCATCATTTACGCTGTAGCCACAGGCCTTTCGATGATTCCGGCTTCGCTGATAGTAGTGTTGACTATCACTATGGCCGCAGGAGCTAACGTAATGTACAAGAAACATGTGGTTGTTCGCAAAATGAATGCCTTAGAAGCACTAGGCGCCGTTACTGGTAAGACTCTTTCTTTTTTCGTAACAATACTCGATGGTTGACATTTGCAGATATTTGCTCGGATAAAACTGGAACTCTTACTCAAGGCAAGATGATAGCGAAAAAAGTATGGCTCCCCGCTAGAGGGACTTACTCGGTTGGCGATTCCGGTGAAGCATTCAACCCCGAAGATGGAGATCTATTTCACAGCGAAAAGTCTCCGCATCAAGCGCGCAATGAAAAGGATGAAGCAAAAGCGGATCCCTTCTCAAATCTTCTACAAAACAACACCGATCTTCAAGCCTTTCTTAATATTGCCTCAATGGCAAATCTTGCGCATGTTCACAAAAGCGATAACGAGTGGAAAGCAAGAGGTGACCCAACCGAGATCGCAATTCAAGTCTTTGCTTCTAGATTCAACTGGAACAGGGAACGATGGACCTCTGGAGATGCGCCTCAATGGAAACAAATCGCCGAATTCCCTTTTGATTCTGATATCAAGAAAATGTCGGTTATTTTCAAACATGAACAATCTGATAGCGCACAAGTTTTCACAAAGGGTGCAGTCGAGCGGATTCTCTCATCATGTTCACAAATAACAATGCGAGACGGAGAAGTCGTAGCAATGGACGAAGGAATGCGCGAAGACATTCTCAACAACATGGAAGCCATTGCTGCCGATGGGCTCCGCGTTTTAGCTTTGGCTGGTAAACCATGGGAACATTATACCGGAATCAATGCTAAGCATGATCGCGCAGACGTGGAGAAAGATTTAATGTTTCATGGACTGATCGGAATCTATGACCCTCCGCGAGTAGAATCGTTGGAGTCGGTGCAGAAATGTCACCAGGCTGGTATTAAAGTCCACATGCTCACTGGCGATCATCCAGAAACAGCTCGTGCTATCGCAGGACAGGTAGGAATCTTACCTCATGATTCTTCTACAATAGGGCAAGCCGTCATGAACACGATGGTTATGAAAGCAAGCGACTTCGACAGGCTCAGTGACGGAGAAATTGATGCTCTCCCAATGCTACCTCTAGTAATAGCACGCTGCTCACCACAAACAAAAGTTAGGATGATCGAAGCTCTTCATAGGAAAGGAAAATTTGCTGCCATGACAGGTGATGGCGTCAACGATTCTCCTTCATTGAAGAGAGCAGATGTCGGTATTGCAATGGGTGAAGCAGGGTCGGATGTAGCTAAGGATGCATCTGATATCATCCTTACGGATGATAATTTTGCTTCGATCCTTAATGCTGTTGAAGAAGGGAGAAGAATGTTTGACAACATTCAAAAATTCATATTACATTTGCTGGCGCAGAATATTGCTCAAGCTTGCACACTTCTCATCGGTCTCGCGTTCAAGGATAAAATGGGAACTTCAGTGTTTCCACTGGCACCCGTAGAGATTTTATGGGTTATTATGATCACATCAGGTAAGATCTCGCCAAAATTATATCGAGACTCGTTTACTAACACGACAAAATTCAGGTATGCCAGATATGGGTCTTGGTTTCGAGGCCGCCGCACCGGATATCATGAATCGACCACCTCAGAACGGTATATTCACCTTAGAAATCATGGTAGACATGGTAGTCTACGGCCTCTGGATGGCAGCTCTTTGTCTCTCCGCTTTCTCCCTTGTTCTCTTCGGTTGGGGCAATGGTGATCTCGGTTTCGAATGCAATGATCGTTATTCCGATCAATGCGATACCGTTTTCCGAGCTCGAGCAACTACATTCGTCTGTTTAACCTGGTTCTCTCTCTTCCTCGCTTGGGAAATGATCAATATGCGAAGATCCTTCTTCCGCATGCAACCTGGAAGCAAAAAGTACTTCACTCAATGGATCCACGATATCTGGGCAAACAAACTTTTGTTCTGGGCTGTCGTTGCTGGATTCGTGACTGTATTTCCCACACTGTATATCCCTGTGATCAACCGAAAGGTATTTAAACATGAGGGTATCAGTTGGGAATGGGGAATTGTATTCGTCGAGTCTTTCTTGTTCTTTTTGGGGATAGAGTCTTGGAAGTGGGCCAAGAGAATTTATTTCAGGGTCCAGGCCAGAAAGACAACCAATGTAACAAGCGGCGCCGATGATGAAGACCCCGGAGTGGCGGTTATGGAGATCCTGAAGGCGCAGAGTACGCATATCACTAGAAAGGGGACGAAGAACCGTGTTGAGTTTTCTGAGAAGGATGGAGATTTGGAGAGTGGCAATATTAGTCCTTAGGTAGTTTATCTATTTTCATAGGGTGTAGGTGTCTTAGAGGAAAGGGCGTGTGCAAAGGATCTAAAAAGCTTCCTTTTCGGAGGCGGATGGACCTTCTGTATAGTTCTGATATGCGGCTTTAGATATTAATACGCACACGAGTGCAAAGTGTATGTAAGTCTGTAATTCATCAATTCAATAATAGGTTATCCAATTTTACTATAAAACAATGGTCGTCTGTGATATCTTCTCTGCTTGCATTATCTCATAATTCTAGAATTTCAAAGCAATCAATTGACGCAGTAATGTATCTGATTTTGGAATCGTGATAAGACATGGCCGAGTGAGTGAGGCCTGTATGTCGCAGCACGAAGGTATAACCAGCATCCAATGAAGGTCCCTCCTAGTGAAGGGCAGAAAAGCTACATATGATATCTTATCCGAAAATGGGCTTTCCCCTGACTTTTTGCGAACTCTGAAATACATGGGTTTGAATCCCTGCTTATTAGAGGCGTAGAATCCTGCATGTCGCAATGGAATGCTGACATGTGTAAGCTGCATAGATAAGATTGGACGTCACTCTTTGGTGGTTGTAAGAGTCACATTATTTGAGATTGCACTGCCGTCTGAAAACGTTAGTTGCGGTCGTAAAAGTGTGAATCATTAAAAAAGTTCTATGCTATTTTTACATTAAATGAAACCCTTTTGATGACCCAAGAAGCCCAACGCTCTGCTTCCGATGACGAGCAATATCATTATTGAAGTCGGATATCGAAACCTTGATGACAGTTCCGGCTGCACCTTATTTCTCGTATCCTTCCCGAGACCGTACGCCATGAGCACCGTGAAGAGATGCCCGAGATTTCCAGTACCGTAAATTCATCAGTGACATATCCATCTTAGAATTTACTACGCGTGGTGTATAGGAGGGCCTATATAGTCATAGACCAGTCTAGCCGTTGCAATCTCATAACCCTTTCGAACAAGAATGTGCCGTGACAATCTTCGCTCGCCTTTGATCTGTTCAAACCCCCATACCTGTGATAGGTCAAGTCAGTTATGATTCCTCTTGCTAAGCAGCGAAATGAGGAGAGTTACTGTAACACTTGTCCAAGAACCAGTCGAGGATTCAGTTTTGTCTTGTATGCAATCACCCAAAACCGTCTCGTCTAACCATCCCGATTTCAAAAACTTCTCTCCTTCTTCTACATTTGCAGTGGGAATGTATCTGCTTCGTGACCGTATGGTGCCCCATATGCAATCTTTATGTTCTCGCGTATCCCAATTTAATCGTCTTATCTCGGTCGTAAGTGCAAGTCCCACGCCCGCAACATGATCCATCATGATGGTAACCAGCCCATTTTCATCTTTTGATTGCGTTGCATGTATAGTTACATCTGCAAAAGATATCGCGCGCCGTAGAAGCCAATTCACATTCTGGAGTCGCAGAACATGTTTAAGTGAGTCCGAGAGGCGTTTGTTCTGGTGAGGGCCAAGAAATACTTAGTCAGCACAAACGCCCAACTTTTGATCGCCAACTTACAAGTAACCAAGATCCATTGATATCATGAATATGCTTTTCTTGGGGAGCGGCCATTTTTCTCGATCAGCTTCTGAATAGTTTTCGATTTCATTGGTAATATTAAGACATTATGTACATTTATAATTTGGTCCCGCAATACTTGGGCACGCTGCTATTCAAGAACCTCATATTTGAGCCAAGTACATGTAAGCGCTGGCGACAAGCCCTGTCACAATGCTACTTTTAACGCCATTGGCATGGGGGTTTGTGTCAATGTACGGTAAGAAGAGAGTAGTATTCCGTGCATGTCAGCCGAATCCTACGAGTCTGATTACCATATTCGTTCCTGTACTCCGTGCTTTAGCTCCAACTCTATGTACCTGTATACTCGTCATCGTCGTTCGCTCATTCCTCCTTTTACGAGCTATGATATTGGCCTTCAGTCTCAGACATGTCTTACGGGAGTTATTTTTGTAGCTTTGAGCAGTATCAATCCCTCCAATCTTGGTTTCTTTTGGTAAGTCGCAATATGCTTGAAACCGCACACTGTCTGATTTTATAGGTCCAAAAAATGCGGATCAGACTCCGTATCAATACTGTCCTCCAACGCCAGAATGTAAGATTACACATCTGGAAACTTTGTGGAATACTTGCCAGCAGATTCAAGATCCTTACGTACCGATGACATGTAAACTAGGATATTACTGCCTTGCTGGGGACCGAGAGCAGATTGTATGCCCTCGGGTAAATACCGCCCTCTTGGATCTTTCAACCCCATTTAATGCGATGTGCTATTTTCATGTCATCAAGGCAGTTCACAACAATTTCCATTGCCTGGAATTTCTAGTAGTCATTATTGACATTTCTCTGGCTCTTTTATTCGGCTAATGGTGGGGAAACTCAAAAAGACCTCGAACACAACTGTGAATGGCAGTGCCAGGAGCATGTCGCAGAATGTGCGTTGTATACAGTACTCCGAACTTCAGTGCTGATCAGGCTAGGTTCAAAAAGATCATTGGTTATGTTCCACAAGGCGAAGTTGTGGTATCTGACCTGACAGTGCCGGTGAACATTCTTCACTCTGCGAGGATACGCCTACCCTGAACATGGAAAGAAACTGAAATTGAAAGTCATGTTGATGATGTTCTTTCTTGTCTTCGACTTATCCATATTCATACCCTTGTGGGCGATCCATCCAACTAAGAGTATTGGGAGGTCAGTGAAAGCGTGTAAGTATGGGAACCTAACTTGCCGCGGCCCCGTCAGCCCTCATACTCGATGAACCTACATCTGGACTGGACGCCACAGCCGCCTATTCTGACATTGGCCTGCTAAATGCTTCATGCAGGCTTGATATTACCGTTATATACATTCTCTATCAACCTCGGCTAGAAAGTTTTCAGGCCTCATAAACTTTTACTCCTACAAAGACCAAGAAATATACTTTGCAATCAAGCATTCTGAGAATGTGGAGTTTTCTGTACCCAAGCAATGTAATCCGGCAGATGCGTTTATGGACATCATATCGGGACAAGGTGAAAGATATGCTAAAACTGGCTTCAAGAAATCGCATATGACCATATCAGCCCTGGTTGATCGATGGAATCTACAACGGAAGCGCAGCATACTTTATTGGAAGATTTTATCAATCGCATTTTGGCTAGCATCGTCTGCTTTACACTTCAAATCATTATATAGTGCTTCGGTAATACCGAGAATGCCATTTGAAAATCTTGCTACCTGTTGATACTCTCCACTCCTACTGTTCGTATTTCGAGCATTCTACAGCATGTATAATGGCCAATCATATAGGTATTTACGGCCTTGTCCCATGTGCTTCCGTAACTACAAGTCGACAAAATGGGCCTTTAATGGCAATGATTGTTAGTTTTGATTCTGGAGGTTTCGGTGATTATGGTCCTCCTCGGTCCACGATTAGAAAAGGGCATCTCGAGTGGTCATGAAGACTGTGTCCTGGGGTAGTATATACATCATTTGCTTAAGCTTTTTGTAATCTTGAGCAATACATAACTTTCAGAAGCATTTTGTTATCGTACCACCTCGTTGAAGTATATTTTCGATATTAGTTCCACTGTTTTGTGGACTGGCTCGACTGGATATATAATTAACCGACCTCGGCTCGATTTGAGGGAGGTTGTACAAGCTTCTTTTGCATCTTAACCCAAACTAAAATTCCATAGCGTGCTACTCATCATCGGAACAGCTTACCGGCTAATAGCATTCGTTGGTCTAACATGTAAGAATAGAGACATGCAAGTACAATCAAAGTGATCAGGGTGATTTTAGATAGCTGGAAGTTGTATCACAAAAGCTAGTCTACATCCACTATCCCTATTCGAAAATATATTTTTGTCAGCCCTGCAAACTCTAAAGAAACTCCGTGCCATGTCATTCCATTCGCTAGTCTAACCACTTTGAGTCCCGGTACTTTATTGACCTTCCGGATACATGCTGAATTATATAGATGAATGTGTTCAGAAATTCGATACCTAACGTATATGGAATGTGACTGAGCGTCTATTAACCGATAAGTGGGCTTATGCACGTCAGCGCACATATTGTTCTCCGCTAGGCCCCGTGTGTACCCATTCCCTTGTGGCGCGCGATTATGACCTGGGACCCTGGTATTATGTAGCTCAGAAGGGGAAAATCCGCGACGGAAACTGGAAATGCACGCGGGGGTTTTTGTGATTGCCGACTAGCTTGACCTGAGAAATAAAAAAGAAGCAGTGAGCAATTGTGAAGAACATCGATGATATGATGATTATACCAATTGATGGTGTGTACGGCATAGGTACCTAGTTGGTTGGTGAGTGGGCACGGATCACACAAAAAAATCTTATTCATAAGCGAAAGAAAAAAAAGATTTCCCCTTCATTCACATACCACAGAGGCAAAAGGAATATTGACCAGACTGGGGCACGATCCCAGGACCTTTCCCGTTCTCATTACGTCTCTAAGAGGCTTATTGTAAAGGGAATGTGATAACCAACTACACCATCCGGCCTTGGATGATTTGTGTTCGAGAGAACAAATTTTTACATTATATTTGTAGTAAAGTGGAATGCAGTGGGTGGTGACAGCCCCGCAGTGAGATCTAGTCCGCTCGAGAGTGGATCCTACAGTCTCTGACTACTCCATAATCGTTGCAGCTGTTATGTACATCTCATAGTCTTTGGGAAGTTCAGTCAGTCCCTGGTTGACAGACAGGTAGACAATGATAGACTGATAGTTTTCCAGCAGTAAATGCGGTCCGAAATTGACTAATAGTTCCTGGACAAGAGTCCTGGGAATTCATTATCTTAGTTCTGCATTTGTAAAGTCCTGATTTACTCTGGTATCAAGTTGGTAGTGATTTCCGAAGTTGTTTTCCGACTTACATGTACGCGCAACCTGATAGTTTGGTGACATACAAAGATTATCATTGCTGGGTTGGTTTTCATTTGAGTTTTCATTTCATTCAATCCTACCTTTCGAATTCATCATTCTACCTCCATTCGTACTGCGTTGCCTAGGTATTCACCACATGGCCTTGCGAGATTGAATATGTTGTTCCAAAAAGCTCCACACTATGCTGCAAAGTTCAGACGTCATAGATACAATGAAGCTGGATGAATAGTACCTGATTCTAGTGCAACATGATTCTCTTACAATGTATCTGTACCACAACATATACTTGGGCTTCAGCTCTCATACCTTCGTCTGACTATCTTCATCCGACTCATCTCATCCTAAGAATCTCTACATCTATCCTCTTACTTGACTCAAATTAGAACCTCCAATTATCGCAATGCAGTCCAGACTGTTGAACACCCTGATCGCACTATTCAACTTTGTACAAAATAAAATGCCAAACTACTAGGTCCAGATAGCACGGCTATACTCTAAAGCCCATCGACTAACGTAGCCACCAAAAGCAGATCACTCAAACGTCATATCACTGGCGCCCAAACACATCCTTTCTTCTACATCAGATTTTCAGAGAAAGGGGTAGGGCAATGTATAACACAGAGTCTATTGAAATATTCCTCTCAGCGGATAATCTTGCAATGATTCTATGAATTTTACAACAAGCTCCACAATCTGTGAGTACCTACGTAACGGAATCCCGTTTCCTACTCTCTCATTCCGCAAAAACAAAGCTTGATCGAACTAGAACAGTGAATCAAACCCCAACTACCATAATAAGTAAAAACGTCACCAGCTTTTCAACGAAGTGTCAAATTACAAGAGCGCCTAGTTGAAAAATTCATAGAAATCCCACCGCTTAACAACGACAATATCGCTCCAGTGTCCTCTGGCAATGTGATTTGGAACGTATGTTCAAGAATCGCCAATTCAAAGGGGCAAGATCCGGGTTCATTGCACATAGCCCAGGTATTTATGCATCTATATATGTATAACGAGGCACATCACTCTCAACACGGGACAAAAATCTGAGGAGAATGATCGAGGTGAATATTCTGTTGTTTTTCATTCGAAGATTATCAATGAATGTTTATTATCTTGGAATTTCGATATACTTTCCAATTTTACAGGTTATTCAGTTGTGATGAGCTTACTAGTATCATACACACTATTCAGAGGTATAGTAGATGCGCAAGTAATACTTCTGGGTGTACGATGGGTTGAAGAACTAACTAAGATCGCTAAAGGTGATGTGCAAACAAAAGTTTGACAGTCCATCTACCTCACGAACACTCTGTAACTTGCATTGAGCATACTGTAACTATATATATTCTGTCGTCTATCTCAAATTCCATCCAGGAACTACCAAACATCATACAGACAGTACCTGATCCGTGAGGATATATACTAGGTACTCTGATTTTTTATTTTGATTTGGCTAATCACTACCGCCTCAATCCAAGACCATCATCTTTTATCTTTTTGAAGTCGTGGGCATCGCATGCTAACCACACGAAGAAGATGATTATCCATCATTTGTATAGCCATATACGTGGTCTCGATCATCCTTTGATGGTGATGGTAGTATATGTGTCGAGATTTCTAGCATGACTTGCGACGCCATAACTAGATCTCGAAATTGCGATTGCCCCTTCGTTCATCTCTATGTGCCTTTCACGACTCATTGCTTTATTGATTGGATTCTTGAGTTCCATCCAGAACGCCTCCGTGGACAGCGCATGTTCATCTCCACGTACGATTCTATTCAATCGACTATCGAATTTTCTCTTTATGTGGATATTGTGTGCAACTAGCTTCTTTTTATGAGTTTGCTGCTGTTTATTTGCGTGAGTCGATATCTTATACTCTTGCATGAGGTCAATCGAGTCCATACGTGTTCTCAGAAACGTCGGACTTCTCAAACGCGATATCCTTTCTCGTGAATCCCAGTGATCTCGAAGAATTTCAAAACTGCCAATCTCGATTTTCCGCACAGTTTCTAACACCATTTCAAGACACCAAGCACCGACGGCAACTATATTGGATAGCGACAGCGGGGCACGATTGTATTATTGGTAAGCGTGAGAATGGACCCATGAACTTGGTACAGTGCGGAACAGATATGATGGTGGAGGAATAAAAAATAAAAGGAATCCGATCATACAGCGAATCTTGACGTATGAACCACTCACCCATAGTCTCTTCCGCACATAACCCTCTTCTTTTTCTTGTACCGATGAACCAACGCGCTATTTAACAAAAATGAATAGCTCTTATTATATATAACACAGGTTCCCCTAACATAATAACAATATCTCTGGATGACACAGATCTGCCATACCATCGACTGTATTTCAGAAAACAGCATATATATATCGACGTAAAAACTGATTATCCATCCACCCACCCATCCATTCATCCCCACAAAAACAACATCATATATTCATACATCTCACACAGAAACACGAAATACCCAATCGCCTTCCTAGACAAGCACCTACCTAGTATTCAGACGAATAGGAATAGGAATCCTACTCTTCTCAGGTACAACCAAAAACAAAAAGATATCTTTCTTCCCATCTCCCCATCTCCCCATCTATACTTCCATCCCCCACTCCATCTCTCACTCCCTCACTTCCCCCCCAATCACTTCTCCATCCTACATCCCCTATTCACCAACCTTTACCTCTACCTCTACCTAATATATACCAAGTACTTTTCCATCCCAAAGAAAGAAAACCCCGGTAATATCATTTGCCAGCCAGCCTAGTAATCTAGCGAAACTTCGAAAGATCATTTCGATAAATGCTCTCCAGAACAAATTCAGCCAATGTCGAGAAAACATTGTAAATCCATTGCGAGTTGATCCAATTTCCGACCCTGATGCATGATTGTCGTAAGTAAATTCGGTTCATCCATTGTCACTGATATTGTCATTGACATCGACATTGGTATTGACATTGCTTACATATCTCACCCTCACCCTCACACCAACCCTACCCCTCATACCCTTCCATATCCACACCAAAACCAACACCTTCAACAGTATGAAATTCAATTCATGTATTTATTTCGCTATCATTTCTGATCCTAATAAACTATCATCTCATCTATGGTCAACTTAGTAAAACGTCCTCGATTCGTTAGTCTTGATAGTATAAAAAGTATGCCTCCCCTCCCTTTCTGATTCTATGACGAAGTACAAGCACAGCAATCACCCCCCGCCATTGTATCATCCAAAAGAACCACAGCAACACATATACCAATTCTCGATTCGAGTCATTCATTCCACCATCAATCCCATCCCTATTACGCCATTATTCACCCCTCATAATATCTCGAAATCTGTCGCAATAGCTTAATCCATCACAATTGTACTCCCTCAATCAAATTCCGTGATCAAACAATCGGAGCTTGTACATTAACTTGTTGAGGCTGTAGAGTTTGCTCCGATTTGGCATATCTGGCTGCTTTGGCCTCATCAAATCTCCAAATTCCACCAGTTTTATCCTCATCAGCTGTTAATTGGATACAAGGAGCCAATGTTTGTAGGATGGGACAACTATCCATCTTGGTGAAATATCTTCTCTCCCAAGTTCTTCCCTCATTCTTTTCCTTCAATCTAAGTTCTCGCTGAGAAACTTCGATTTTGGTCTTCTCGTTACCGGTTGTATCCATGTCGCCGACTGCGATACCAGCGGCGACCTTGGACCACGCACGCCGCGATTCTAACGGATCTTGTGCCTCGATTGGTGCAACGATGAGTGGAGTGGTAGGTGCTGCATCCGCATCATACGAGTCTATCAGACCACTCTTCTTCCCACCTTCTCTAATCTCAAATTGTTTGGTCCATTGTCCAGTTACGGTATATAAGGTGTCCTTTTCTTTACCAGTAGGGTATAATGTAGCGGTGAAACTGTTCTTCTTGCCAGATAACCATCCTTTGCCACTATAGTCAATCTTGGCTGTAAATCCTGAACTACTTGTAATGTACGATTTGGCTTCGAGCTCGACGAATGGGGAGCCAAAGATTAAACCTTCAATGTGAAGATTTGGAAGAGTGATGAGGTAGGTTTCGTTGTAAGCGGGGATACTGAAGACTGCATGCCCAATTTGTTTAACGTTAATGGTTCGAGAGAATGATGCCTTTTGAGCATTGTATCCTTGTAGGTATACGCCGTGTCTCTTGTTGGAAATTTGATATGCGGTAACAGGTGGATGATGGCTAGAGGTAATATTAGAGATGGCACTTTAGATATATCTGGAAACACATTAATTACCTGACCTGCTCAGAAATAAGCTCAGTCGTTCCACAAGCATCTTCCCACTTTCCAAGGAACAACTCCCCTAAGAAAGGGTTCAATGGCTTCTTCTCATTTCCATATTTGTCACTTCGGCTGGCATATTGTTGTTTCAATGTGCTCAAGAACCATTTCAAGACCAAAAGTGCTCGTTTCTGAGGGTCCTTCTCTGCAGCAGGTGCGACAAATATATTGGGATGTTCTGCCCAATATGAAGAGAACTCAGTCAATGATGTCGATGACAGAATGAATGGTGGAGCTGTCAACGATGATAAATCTCCATTGAACGAAGCGATGGATTTTAAAAAAGCACTCCAAGATCCTTTATTTTGCGCAGATACGCCAGCTCCTTCAGTTTCGTTTGCAGACATCTTTGATAGTATTGTTTGTTGTTTGTGGAGGAGATTATTGAATTGGGAGGTATTGAAGTCTGGAGTTTTGTGGAGGAATTTGAGTTGCACTGATTCAGTTGTGGAATATAAGGATTTGTTGGAAGAATAGCGCCTTAAAATGGACGATTAATGTGTATGGAAAACAAAAGGTATTCAACGAATAACAATTGTAGAAGAGAAGAATGACAAGAAAACAAGAATATTTGAGAGGAAGAAGGAAAAGGAAGGATTGTCCTTGTGATATTAGTACCAACGAGGTTCGTGATGGGGGGATGAGGAGACGAATACCTGGTATGTATAGATGGATGATTGTATGGATGTATGGGATCTTTCTAAGGGTATTGGGGGTATTTGGTATTGGGTATTTGGTTAACTAAGGAGTTCGTTCTTCTTAATTGACCTGACCAGGGATTTGATCAAAGCTTGGCATTTGCCCCTCGAATTGATATTTTGTCCCCTTCGCTTGTGGAGAACGTCATCTACAACTGCACTGCCCGTTTTTCTTCCGTGATGGGGATGGCTCGATGGTAGGAAGAAGGAATTCAAGTTCACAGCCAGGCCAGGTCAAGTTCCGTAGATTGGAGAGATGATTTCTACTGGCCACACTATTTCACCAGACGAACTTTGCTTGACGGCACCCTTTTTTGATTGAAATTGATTGTACCTGCAGATTGGAAACGAAGGAAGAGAATGAGAAGCATAGGTAAGCCAACATGCTACTCTATACTCTATGAGAAACGGTCATCCGAGCTGTTGCTACCCAAGGAGCCAGTTAGGTACAGGTCTATCTACGGATACAATCTTCATCAGTCTATTTATTAGGTACTACCAACACAATATATTATATTTCATCGATATCTTCAATATCTTTCAATATCATTAACATTATTCCAATCTCGCTATCCGTCCCACTCGTACATATCAAGTGGAGAGCTCAAGCAAACCCAATCAATCATAAATTACCTACGATGTATGAACCTACGACACAAGCTATCGTCTTTCTTAGTACTCACGTCTCCATTTCTTTTACTTCCTGCCACGAATCATCTCCTACTCCGGGTATTATATGATTGGTTCAAACAACCAACCATCTGTGAATCTCTCTTTTAACCTTTTTCGTCATATTAGAAATTCAAACTTACTGGCTGATCACACACAACCACCTTCGAAAATCATGTCGTCCACCTACAACCCTTAACTCGTATTAATTACTCGTAGTTCACTAGGTATTTAGAAAAACAGACCGTGTTTCGTAGGTGGCTTATCATTTAACCAACTTGAATGGGTGAGTTTAACGGCCAAACGGATCGATGAGTAGATTTATCTGTTGAACCTGATAAGAGCGCTTAATCAGTGTGAAGGATCCGGCTATTTGTTCATGTTATTCTCTTTTTGAAAAAAATTATGTTGATGTCATCTTGAGAGAAGATTCAAAAGATTCATAATAGCACCACACTTCACATGCAATATAAACAATCAAATTTGTCCATCATGGTAAAAAGTTTTCTCATGGCAATTCGTTGCATTTATAGGTTTGACCAAAACTCCACCACCCCAACCACCATTTCTCCGCACTTCGTTATGTATTCCATAACAATGTCCTAAACCGTGTAAATTTTTGAAACGCAATCTGAATATTCGCTAGTCATTATAAATTCATAGCTGTCCTGCAGTGTTGAAATCCTTAAGACCCTCGGCAAGACGTTGGGACATGGTTTTCTCTCCCTCACGAACCCAAACACGGGGACTGTCATAGTATTAGTATACATTGTTGTCAAGAAATTAGGGGATGAAGAATGCTTACTCGAACTTCTTCTTGTTTGGCTTATCTGGTCCATCTGGGTTACCAACTGGGGTCATGAGATAGTCCTTGTTCTTAAGGACGTAGTCACGGATACCAGTGAGGTAAGCGAATTGCATATCGGTATCAAGGTTGACCTTGACAACACCGTATGAGATGGCGTCCAAGAACTCTTGCTTGGAAGATCCAGATCCACCGTGGAAGACCAAGAAGACTGGCTTATCTTCCTTAGCTCCAATAGCTTGCTTGACATGGGCTTGGTGCTTGCCGAGGAGCTCTGGGCGGAGCTTGACGTTACCTGGCTTGTAGACACCGTGAACGTTACCGAAACCAGCGGCGATCGAGAAGTATGGGGAGATTGGGGAAAGAGCTTGGTAGATGGCAAGGATATCCTCTGGTTGAGTGTAAAGGGAGTTGTTGTCAACATCCTCGTTGTCGACACCGTCCTCTTCACCACCGGTAATACCGATCTCCTACAAAATGAATTAGTAGCTGTCATCTCAAACCTCCCAAATTACTTGGCGTACCATCTCGAGCCATTGCTTCATTGGTGCAGCTCTCTTCAAGTATTCAGCAGTGGTCTTGATGTTGTAGTCAACCTCCTCCTCGCTCAAATCGATCATGTGGGAAGAGAACAAAGGCTCGCCGTGCTCCTTGAAGTATTTCTCATCGGCATCGAGAAGACCATCCAACCATGGCAAGAGCTTCTTGGCGCAGTGATCAGTGTGGAGGACAACTGGGATACCGTATGCTGGTGCGAGAGCACGGATGTAGTGAGCACCGGCGATACCACCAGCGATGGAAGCCTCTTGGTTACCGTTGGAAACACCCTATAAGATGATTAGATATCGTAAGTTTTGATGGAGTAGCAATCTTTTCTAACCTTTCCGGCGAAGTAAGCGGCACCTCCTTGGGACATTTGGAGGATAATTGGGGACTTAGCATCGCGAGCAGCTTCGAGGGATGCTACGACAGTGGAGGAAGAGGTAACGTTCTGCCACAGTTAGTTTATGTCTGCACACACGTTCTTTCAAAAGTGTCATAACATACAATGGCTGGAATGGCAAAGTTGTGCTCTTGAGCGTAGTTGAAAAGCTTGAGGACATCATCACCAACGATGACTCCGGACTTTCGGCTGAGAACGTCTGTGCAACCCATATTTTCGATTGTGAATGTGAATGTGTAGTTGAAGTTTGAGGTTTGTAGTTTGTAATTTGTAATTTGCAAAAAAGGGGTATCTGAGATTTGGAGAAAAAAAGTGTCAATAAATGAGTAAAGTCGTTGAACAAGATGGAAAAGGTTTTCTTTAGTAGAAGGTCATAGAGAGGGGTGGAGTATTTTGGATTTTCAGGACCGATACCGTCACTTGGTAAATGACGCTAATGGTGGGGGGCTGTTTCCAAATGGAATCCTCAACATATCAATTTGTTGGCATTCATTGGTCTTGAATCAAAAAGATATGGAACCCCGAGTTGAAGCTCAGTGAATGTGACGTACCCTTTTCACTTATTTCTTTCCAATGAATTCTGCACCTTTGACTTTTCAATGGGTCAAAGTTAAGTATAGATAGGCTGAGGTAGGTAGATCCAATATTTACGATTCAAGCTGGCGGTCGTGAAGGGGTGGAGGGGAGGGGAGGGGAGGTGCTCGGTAGGTAACTTCCATACTTTTAAAGTAAAATCGATGAAGTGTTTACAAGTGGGGTTCCGGCGAAATTGACCTCATAGCCATGGCAATACTCACCAATGTAGCATTACCGAAGAAACTACGGCGAGATCCTCCGATTCAACATGCTTCGTCTTTGTTTGAACTTCTTCCCCTCGGGCTTATTATTCGCTATCCTGGCATGCAACCAGAGGAAGCGAAAACTTTATTCCGGCCATAGCAGAGAGCTGGAGAGAGTAAGGTGTCGCTATGCTCGAAGGTCTACAGAGTAAATGAGCATTTTCAGAAGCAAGTCACAGAGTCATCAGGAGAAACGAGTAAGGTGGACGAGTAGATGCTGTATGTATAGAATAAATTGATGAACGAACCGGCGTTTTACAACCAATGAACTTTTTTCTACGACTGCACATCGAATGTTTGCGGCTGAACTTCTTACGCGAAGCATTTCTGCCTTCCCAATGACCTCTACCCCTTTCGATTCATGAATGAATGACAAAAATCGGTGCATTTAGGTGATATTTACTATTTCTCAACAAGTTAATCGAATCCAATGATGCATGTGTATTCTCTTTCCCATATGAGAAATGTATGTTATTACATCTAGGTATCACTCAAGTCCTCATCAATGTCTTTTTGATGCATCTTCAAACTCTAATCTTGAGCACTGATCTTGATCGACCTTCGAACAGCCTCAGGAGCTCCCCTGAGTTGTATGTCAATCTCAAAAATGCCCAAATGTTTGACACGGTCTTTCTCTTCCGTCTCCTGAACGAATTTGATATCCTCCGGTCCAAATACAACCCGCTTTCCTTCCGAGTCCTGACCTAAGATGGTCTTCATCTTTGCGGCTATATCCGTAGTTGATACCGATCCATAGATGGGTACCTTTTCTGGTTTCCCTGTACTATTCTTTGAAGCTGCAGCGGATATTGAAGAAGATGACGCTAGGGATGGTGAGACCTTCTTTACCGGTAGAGGAGCAACAGTAATGGCAGTCTCGAAGAAGTCTATATAAGGTGGTATCAAATCGGATAAGATAGCTGTGGAGCGTTCGGGCTATTCACAATCAGTCAGCAGTTCTTGTCTTTTAATTTGTGGAAAAATTGAAGGTAGACGTACGCTCAGCAATTCAAGCTCAACCACTTTCTTGATATTCAGTCGACGCTCTCCGCTGAGGAATTTTAATGCCTTCTTCTGATCTTGCACTGGCTCTATTCTGGCGGTTTTGCGCTTTCCAAAAGTACTATCGGGAAGAGAGACATTTTTCCTCGAACCAACTTGTTCAGATTCTGTAGGTGTCACATATACAGCAAATCCTCTGCCATACAGTTTATTTCGCATCAATCCGGGAGGAACTTGAACAATTCTTCCTATACCACAATTAGCCACCGGAGTTTTCATGGCTTTCAGGTACATGCAAACTTGCCCTTTCTGCCAATTCCTATGACAGGTTTCAGTAACTGAATTGTAACATTATGATCCTTTTCTTTCGCAAGCTTCTTCTTCCCTCGGACCTGCTGGCTGCCTGAGAATAGCAGTCCATCGCCGAAACTGCTAGTTGTCCGGCGTAGGCATGCTAGACATGAAGGTACTCGCGATTGTAATAATGAAGCCATTGAAAGACAATGAGTTGAGAAGACCTCCAAACAATCGTCGTGAGTTCAAATCGCCAAAAATATTTGGTTTTGCTTACTTGACACCTCAGTTTAATTCATTCACCCCTCCACTAGCGTCGGAATATCGGCATGAACAAAGACTGGGGTAACGACAAAATGAAGTCTGTATTGCCAATATTTGGTTCGGTTGATATTGATAAGAGATTTCGGAATACCTTCGTTTCACAAAGTGTTTCCCTCAGATCATTCATGACAGTCGGGCATTTTGTACTGTCTGCGGAGGAGGGATTTTAAGGAGTTGACACACAATCCATTGTTCCTACTGAGATCCGGAATAACTTTGGCTGCGGGGACTTGATCTCACATCACAGAACTTAGAGGCCTCAACTCCTTATTTTCTTGGACACAGAAAGAAGTCGCCCAAACGGTTTAATTCGAAGGTGTGTTTTGTGATGGAACAGTGACTATTGAAACTTCTTCCTTAGCCTTTCAGCATTACCTCTTTCCTCATAACCTCTTCTCCTCAACCTCATCTTTGATTGAACTCGTCCACCATCTTATCCGACCTCCCCCCGAAATTCCCGACGATCTTTAGTTTGACGAAAGTATGCCAGATAAACAATTCACGACTTTGACATATGCTGCGGGCGCCTCTCTAGCTGCAATTACACTCGTCTATGTGTTTGCGCCAACCTTCCTAATGGACGAACAAAACTCGTCATCCAATACGAGGAAGAAAGGAGTGGTAGGCTTGGTCAATACTGCCAATGATTGTTTTATAAATTCGGTGCTCCAGGCCCTTGCTGGTTTGGGCGACCTACGCATATATCTGATTCGGGAAACGCACAGAAGGGACTTGGATAACTCAGAGGTATACAGTCGAATTGTGGAGGACCCGGCGCGGCAGGGTTTACCAGCATGGAAAATAGAAGGTCTACAAAAGGGCTTAGTTACCACGGGACTGAAAGATATTCTGGACGCATTGAACGAAAGACCTTTATACAAGAAAACCATATCTGCTGGGCCATTTGTAACTGCACTGGAAGCTGCTTTTAAGCAGAGGATTAGCCGGCAACAACAGGACGCGCAGGAGTTTTTGCAAGTAGTGGCCGAGAGATTGAACGATGAGTATCATGCAGGCCACAGGGCGAGAAACCATGCAAGGGAATTGGAGGCTGCCACTCCAGAATTGCACTCATCAAAAGAGGAAATTGTAAATGAGGAGGAGTTGGGCCAGCTTAGTTTGAATGAGGCCGAGACCAGCTCTCCTGCGACAAAAGCGCCATCAGATTCTTCTCATAACTCAGAAAAGGCAAGCTCAACTTTGTCACGATCGCCTCAACAAGGCGGAGAGTTTAATAGTGAAGTTGATAAGGAAGATGGGTTCCCATTCGAAGGCGGTTCTGAGTCACAAATTGAATGTTTAACCTGTGGTTTCAAACCAAGGCCCACACAGACAACATTCTGCTCTCTTACATTGACTGTTCCTCAGGCCACATCTACCACATTAAATGCATGCTTTGATGGAATGTTTAAAACGGAATATATTGAGGACTTCAAATGCGAGAAGTGTAGATTATTACATGCCTTGGAAACCTTCGAACAAGAATATTCTCAATCGAATTCTCAAAAATTCAAGGAGAAGACTCAGATATCAATCGACAAACTAAAGGCTGCTATAGAGACAAACCCTGAAGCGGAGCTCCTTGATGTTGAATTACCAGATTCGAGATTTGCTCCGAAGCGAAAAATCGCCAAACATGTCCGTATTACCAAATTCCCAAAAGTCATGGCGGTTCATCTGTCGAGGTCAATCTTCGACTCCAGATCAACGACAATGAAGAATTCTGCCAAGGTGGCATTCCCTGAACAGCTCCCACTTGGAGGTTTATTGGACCGACGGAAGTACAAGCTTCTTAGTCTAGTCTGTCACAAGGGAAGTCATCATAGTGGACACTATGAATCTTTCCGGAGACAAAATATCGTTGCTCCATTTTCAACCCCAAATACTTTCCAACCGTCAGTGGCGTATGCCAGATCTTCAACTCATACCCCTTCATTACCTTCTACCCCTCAGACAAGCGCTACCCCAAGGGATGACGGGGATAACACTACCCTCTCATCTACTCCAGAATTATTGTCCCCAAAGACAGCCTCCACCACATCTCTTTCAAACACAAATGGGCGCCATTCGTTAGACTCTTCACTTAATAATAAACATCTCTCTGGCATTAATCCAACATCGGCCAGTTCCATTGCATCGTCGTCCAAGACAGCGGGTCCCACGTCAGCCCCTCAAGATTCCGATACTGGTAGCATCCGCTCCTTAGGACGTTCGGCTCGGAAAACTCTCTCCAAAGTTTCCAGTACAATCAGTCGATCATCCCCCGCTTCATCTTCGCCGAACTTATCTCCATCCAATCCAGAAATTAGCCGGACATCTTTGACAGAAACAGTTCGTACTAAGCGGAAAAAGAAGACGGTTGAAAGATGGTGGAGAATTAGCGACGAAAAGATAAAAGAGAGCAAGACTAGTGAGGTTTTGGGCATGCAGAAGGAGGTTTATATGTTGTTTTACGAGCTAGAGCGGGGAGAGGAAGATTCATAAAAGCATTTTGGGGGGATGTATTACATGGAAATATGGGGTTTAGGTTCTATTTTGTATATTGATTGAACATGTATTTGATACCGGAAGCAGGTCTGACTGAATAGATGAACATTAGATAGACCCAGCGAGAAAATATACTTTAAAGCGCTGGGAAATTATGCTATGAATTCTGAGTAATACAATTATTTGCATTATAAAATTCTTGACTATATCATAAATGACTACCAGCCAAACACAGGTCCTAGGGATCAGTTGTTGAGAAGAACCTCCAGGGCTTGTGATAATAGCATATTAGTCGCCCGAAAAGGGTTTGTGGTTATCAATCGTCCAAATGGAGTAACTGCTGAACATCGAAATCTTTACATTCACCGCCCTCAGATCTACCAAATCCACTCTCGACCAACCAAGCAATAAATTACCTACTTGCTTAATAAATCGATTGCTTATTATTATAAATTCTGCTTGAATCAATTTTTTGCTGTTTCAAAGTTCCCGTATTAACGTCCCAATACAATACAACAGCAGCTACGGGCTATAAATATTACCCTGGTTCACGCGCTCGCCCCTCCAAGCTCAGGAAAAACGCGCTTTTCGCGTTCTCATTCCACGAATTTCAAGATTCTCCAAACCGCGATCGATACAACACAATTGCATTGCAAGAGCACATCTTATGAATATGCGCGCAAATGGCTCCTGGCAAACAACCTCGATATGATAGCTCGCCTTCACCGCGCACGAGAGGAACTTTCCGCGCGAATAATAACGATAATGGGACTGACATATGGGGCAACAGAGCGAGGGGAGGGTCCGGAGATACCTGGATAAAGAAAATAATGGAGGACGATGAAAACAATGGGGAAGATGCGAGTGTAGATATCGAGGGTGTTACAAGAGATATTGGGAAGATGAGAGAGGAGGAAGCTAATGGGACGGGTAGGGGATGGGATACAGAGCTTGAGTTTACGGCTCGAAGTGTTGATATTAATCGTAGTCCACGACTGAAAACGAATGGTATACCAAGCAGGATAGAGGAAATTATGGAGCAGGAGAGGAGTTTTGTTGAAGATGACGAGGAAGAGGAACATGGAGAGGCAAATTATGTGAAGGTTCAAGAGAGGCCAGCGAGGAGAGGAAAGTCCGTTGATAATCCTGAAAGTCGTAATTTTTCGCGGCCAGTACAGGATGAGAATTCAAAAAAGGAGACAATTCAAGCAAAATCAGAGGAACGGAGAGAGCGTGTGCGGAGAGAATTGGAAAAACGGCGTGCGGAACGGAGACCAATTACTTCGTACGAGAGTGAAGATAATAAGATTCCCCAAGACAGGCAGGAAGGAGCACTGCGGAATAGGTTGCCCCGGGAACAAAGATCAAAAAGCGGCGACTTCTCGAAAAGCAATTCATTCCATGTCGACAATCATGTACGCAGTATCCGTAATGACAAAGAAAATGTTATGCCGCAGGAAGAGAGACCATTATCCCGACTAGAAAGAAGGTTCCAAGGGGAAGATGGCTTGAAATCACTACAGAGGGCCCGTGAAAGCAGATCAAGGACCGATTACGACCAGAAGGTTCCAGAGAATACCGAACCACAGACGAATCATGAATCCAACGGTAGAGTTCTAGAAAATGCTGAACCACGGCCAAGGGCTGAATATAGCCGCAGAGCACTAGGAAATTTTGAGCCACGATCTTTGGAACGTTTTAGAGCCAACGACAAAACTGATAAGATGCACGAAAAAACAATACTTGATGAAGGAGATGGATTACATGGAACGCCTATTACAGTATTTCCAGAAAATGAGGCACGTCCAAATTCAACGACTTCTAAACAAGAAGATTCCCTTCAGATCTTAAGGAATCTCTCTAAAGCCATTACGGGTACAAGTGGAAGCGGGAGAAATAGTTCCGATAAATTAGATAATGATCTTGAAACTCCGGTATCATCAGAAAGATCTCCCTACGAGCTTGAACAGGTCTCTGGGAGGCTTCCAGACTCTGCACCCACCCCACCTCCATCAGCGCCTATCAACCCCCTCCTATTGCCCACCCCCAAAGTCACAGGTGGGTGGATCGAAACCCCTGCACCACCGCGAATGCGCACCAACGGTAGAACACCCAAAGAACAACCTCAGATCAAAGAGGAACCTTCCTCGCCCCGCAGCCACAGTGAGCCTTCCAAGCCTTCCCAGTCACAGTCGCGATCCCGTCCAACTCCAATAAACAGTGCCCCTACCATCTCCGCCGCTGCCGACCTCCAACGTATAGAAAAAGAAGCTCGAGTCGACGATTCCACTACAATCGATCGAGACTTCTCCCTATTTTTGAAAAATCAAGCTACGTCTCCAAATTCTGAAACCGTAGAAATCAATCTCGATTTCGATGAAAATGGTCAACCACTTTCTCACGAAGAGAAAGAAAAAAAGCTGGAGGAACTTGCGTTCCTTCGTATGAATCGGAGTTTAAAACACACTACGAGTAGTATACGAGATGCGAGACATGGCATTGAAAGACTGGAACAGCAAGTCTCTTCATCAGGTCCACGTTCGCACTCACCCAAAGAACTCGGCCTCCCATCCCCCAAAACATCATCTCGTCCCTTTTTCCTAGATGCTCCTTTAAACCCTGCCTTGAACCCGAATGTTCACTACCTCATGATACCCCTTCCCCGCCTCCGTCGCCCTGGAACTAGAAATTTTACCTGGTTCGGATTACTATTTACCATCTTCGTAACGTGGTTTGTAGCTGAATGGGCTATGTGTGAAACGTATTGTCATCCCAAATACTCGAATAAAGATGTTTGGCACCCTTCCGATCCGTTTTGGCCTTGGGCTATTCCTACCAAAATGGATCAGTGGACGGGGAAGGTTGTCAGTAGGGGCATAGGAGATGCGTGGGATTGGTGGGAGGGGTATGATGAGGAGATCAGGATTTGGAAGGAGAAGATGAAGAGGGAAGGAGTGACGACACCTAAAGTTGTGGGGCTGGGAGATGATGAGGTGGTAGACGAAGTTGTGGAAAATCACGGTAAAGATGATGGAAGGAAAGGAGGAAGCAGCTGGTGGAGCTGGGATAATGATGAGATTTTGTAGCAATGCATCAGTATAGTTTAGCGTGCAAAACGTGCTTGGATCAGTTGATAGACATTTGGTGTTTAAAAAGATGGACAAATTCATGGCGGCGTTCGGGGAAAGTTTAATCCAGGAATTAAACATGCCATGTTGCATTGTTGGGATGTGTACCTGACCTGGAATTCTCATGGTTGGATAGAGTCAGATGGTGTATGGCGCAGTGTTTAAGCTTGGTCAAGTTAGTGTGCTGGATGCCTTTTGGAGCAACCGAATGGAATGGAATGCACATAAATTCACTGCTACATTTCTCACAGATCTTAGATTCAAGCGAAAGGTGAAATGTTAAATGCATGTGAGTTGGGCAGAAGGATGAGTGATATTAAAACCACGGCATTTTAGATACCTAGGTAGTTCTAGGACACGCACCAAACCTCTCAAAAAATCTCTAATCTCTGTCAGAAGATCCATATGAGTAAAAATTTATTTTTATAGCTCAACGTATATGGGGCTTGGAAGCCGCTAGTCGCTTGAATGATTTTCAGTATTTCGTTAGTCCGACGAGGTGGAAATAACTTTTTAACTGATTGAAAATCCTCACTGGAATTCAACTTGCTCAGATTCAAGACCCTGCAGAGACTAGCGAGAGAAGCCAGTACGAACCTGCGTCTGGGTGTATTCTTGCCAACACCTACTCACAAAGTATACTTTATCTACAAGATTGGCATCAAGATCATTTCGACCTAGATTTTTGATTTGGAAACATTTCCTACGTGTTGATTGGTGTTGTTTCCATACGCACTTCTTTTGAGTTTATATGGTCAGTCGAATAGGTATGGTCCGATATGGAGAGGGCTTTATTTCCGCAGCTACCAGATGCATCTGCTGAGGCCGAAATTTTAATCACAACTGAGAGATTGAAGCAACAGATTCTGGAAGTAGCAATATCAATGACATGATATTCAAATTACTAGCCGAGAGTATTTGTTTCTTCCTGCGAGTAAGATGATTGCCCCAGTTCCAGCCCACCGTTGCTACTTCCTGAGCGCCAGCATGTCGTTCATCTGAATCAATTCACCTCTTCCCTTGCAGCAAATTCAACATTTCATACTGTCCCGTGGATCTCCCGTAATGGGTCTCCTCCACCTTGTTCTTAGCATAATCCGCATCCTTAAAATTCGGCGTCTTTCCCTTTGCCTTCTCAATCTTATACTGCAATGCCGTAATCATTGTGCCCGTTCTCCCATGCCCATACCCACAATGAACGAGTGTAGGTACTTTTGCATTCAAATACTCTTGATAGGCCGTTTCCATCTGATCCAGAGACGGCGGTGTATAGTCTGGCACGGGAAGATGTGTGTAGATGATTCGCGGATCGGCGTTGGCCAATTCGGCTTCAATCTTGAGACAGCTTGGTTCATCGCCGTTGAGACAAATCACGTGGCCGATATTGTGTTTGTGCAAGAATGCAATGCCCTTTGCGTTGATGAACTGGGAAGGGTCGCCTGGTGGGGAAACGTAGTTTGGAGAGGAAGAACGGTAAAGAGTGTACGGACCGAGATATCCAGTTACAGGTTTCCAGCGGTGAAAACCAGCCTCTTCGGCCTCGCTTTCGATGTCTTGGGCGATGTCATCGCTTTGTCTGTAGGCTTTGGTATTGGTGGTGGGGAGCATGTCTACTGCTTTGGGATCGTAAGTGAAACGAAGGCATGGTATTGTGGTATTTAGTACGGAGTGGGTGCAGTGTTTCTATATGTATTAATTGGAGGCAGTACAAAGGGTAGAAGGAACATAAAAGACAGAAAGAACACAAACAAAGAAAACGGATATACAGAGAACGAAAAGGCCACAAGAAGCGAAAAGAACATAGAAACTGAGCAAACATAGATCTTGAAGAGTTGAGAGAATGTAGACAATAAAGAGGGCAAAGGAATCAAAGCACTTGTTGTCAAACAGGTTCAAACTCAATATCTTTCAAAAAGTTTTTTTGAATCTCTTCAAAATTGATATGGCAGAATAAAGGAAATTTAGACTTATCATCATGAGTTAGAGTAAATAATGTAGCCTGGCATCTATAAAAAACAGTAGTCTTCAGAGATAATACTATACGGATATCTTTACTTAGTGTTGGGCCTGCTTTTCATTTGTAGAAAACCTATCCTGGCAGAAGTTAGAATTGAGCAATGTGGTTCAAAATTCCAAATAACATGTGAAGAATACAGATATACAGGGTAAGTAGTTGGTTATTGAGTATGAAGTTAATACAGTTTCCTAGCGGCTCCTACAAGTATTTAAACAGAAGATCATAGCAGACAGTAATTAGACTATCAATTAGCCGAGTCGCCCCTTTCCTTCAGGGAAAGAGACAAAATGAGGTTGCGAAGTGCTGTCATTGTGTCTCATATCAAAGTGTCTTGCTCCTATGGATCGAAATTATCAACTCTTTCAGAATGTTGTGTATGGTGTTTGTAGGCAATTAGGGATGGGGTTGGGTAAGATGGGTTTTTGTTGGTCAACATGTTTTCACTGTATAAATTATGTTAGTTGAATAAGATTATGTTCCTTGGCTAAAATGGAACGCATCTTAAACTTGCAACTATGAACGCATATGACTCGGGATAGTTCGAAGCAATGTAACAGACACTGTTCAGAAAAGCCCAAACCGTGTACGCCGGACCCTAGGCAACTTGCCAGAATTACGTATCAGTCTCATAAGAGCCTTCGATTTTTAACATAACGACTTGCCTGGTAGAAGAACAAGAAAGAGCCATGCTTCTGTGTATAACAATCAAGGTTATAGGACGGAGATATCTACAATTTGCCAATCGAAAAGCCTCTTAGTCAAAGGCAGACAAGTTATTAGAGGACATATTTTGAATTAGATATCACATTGGCAGAATAACCATGGAACCTTTAGATGCGCCAGAAAAATTTATACATCAAGGTATTGACAATGTGTGAGTGCAACTCATACTCAACCAGCAGCAATTTCCTCTTCTTGATCTTCCCACTCCCCCTTTTCTTCCATCTCCTCATTTAGCTCCATTTCTCCATCCCCTTCCAGACCTTCACTATCCCACTCATCGACGTCCATTTCGTCATCATCTTCGTCTTCATCGCCGCCTTTCTTGTTACCAGCCTTAGCCTTCTTTTTTCTCTCGACATTCTCCTTCTGAATCTTCTTACGGACTGCCTTTTCTTGTCTCCTCTTCTCCCAGACCTTGTCCATTTCTTTGACTTCTTCCTTCGATTTATGAATATATTCATGCCACATAATTTTTCCGTCACATACGCCTTCCTCGACCTTTGTCATTCTTAGCTTCATTCTTGGTCCTAATTCCACCAATTTGATAGCCCGTTTTTCAGCACCACTCCTGGCACCCTTGGCTTGTCCATCACGGGTCTTTTCCTTTTGGCGCTTGTTGAGAATCTTGCGAGTGCGCGTCTCAACCACTTCAACCTCTGCGTCGGTATCAACCTCACTTCCACTTGTATTATCTGTCATATATCCAGCCCCGTCTTCTCCGATCATGTAATCGGCGATATCTTCCAACTTCCCGAGGTTTGGTATTCCCTTCCTTGGATTTTTTGAATGTAAATATTGTTCGGCAGCGTTCAATCTTCGCAATGGCTTCGAAAGACCAATTCGTTTGGTTGTTATTGCGTAATGACGAAGGTTAATGGTGTATGTGCCATCATCTTCAGCTTTAGTTGGCTCGCGATTGAGAAGCATAACTCTGCGAATCGATGTTAACGGTGTGACATTAGGAGAGATCGGTGGGAAAAGAGATTGGAAAATGGTGGTTGTGAGCGATTCGAGATGTTTGGGTATCTTGTTTTCGGAACTCGATTCTGACGCAGGAGATATGAAATTATTCATCACAAGCTGATTTGGTCAGTTATTACCCACTTGATCGACACAAGATACTGTAAACGTACCAATGGAGGTGTTGTATATTCTTTTCCACCACCTTTAGGATGCTTCAATGCCTTCCTCACATCTTTACATAGAGAGTATTTCTCTACATGGAAATGTAATGTTGGACCTCTTGGTGTAAGAGCAAGTCGCATGTTTGTATTTCCGGCCTCTGATCTCGAGAACAACATAAGATGGCTGACACCCAAAGGACCTGCCATTGTGAGATAATCTCTCAACTTGTTTGCTCTTCTCTCCTTCAATCTTGAGGCCGTATCTGGTTCCATCATCCGTCTAACATCCCTCACCAATTGACTAACACTTGGTCCGACTTCTCCTGCACCAGCTCGAATTACCATGCTTTTCGGGGATCGTGAAGCTTGAGAAGCCGGAGTTCCCTTTGCTCCAGCTGGATTATTGGCACCAACATGGGTGCGCTTCTTAGTACGTCTTCTCGCCATTTTTGTTGTTCTGAATTGTATGATGTTATTTCTTTAGGACTTTCTCCTCCTAACATTTTCTTAAAGGTAGAAACTTTTTTGCGCGGCCAATCAGATAAGCGGATCCGATAAGCCCGATAAAAAATTATTTTCTCTAGCCTTTCCTAGCTCTTCACTCTCAATCCATAACCACATCACCGAAAAGATTGCGCCAACATTGAGAATTGTATTAATTGAAGACTTTGGTCCAATACACTTCTTCGCATTAGTATCTAAACTGACAAGATAACAATCATGTCTTCCGTGAAGCGGAGGAAGACCGATGAAAATCCATCTTTGGAGGGTGTGAAATCGAAGAAGACAAAAGAGTCGAAAAAAGGCTCCCCCACACCTTCCCCAGAGCCAATTGAGGGTACTGAAGATAACAGAGTTATCGAAGAGACTGAGGAAGTTGAGGAAGTTGAGGCTCCAAAGTCTTTTAAAGATTTGGTGCGTAATTACTTGTCTATCGCAAGATCTCTTACTTACGATTCCAGGGCATCGTCGACTCATTATGCGAAGCATGCGACACTTTAGGATACAAGGCCCCAACTCCCATTCAAAGGGAATCTATACCACTCGCGCTTCAAGGCAGAGATTTGATCGGTCTGGCAGAGACCGGTAGTGGAAAAACTGCTGCATTTGCTTTACCAATTCTTCAAGCTCTACTCGATAAACCACAACCTCTCTTCGGATTAGTATTAGCACCGACTCGCGAACTTGCATATCAAATTTCTCAACAATTCGAGGCTCTTGGGTCTGTTATAAGAGTAAAATGTGCTGTCATAGTTGGAGGAATGGACATGGTACCGCAATCAATTGCTTTGGGTAAAAAACCTCACATTATCGTTGCCACTCCTGGTCGTCTCCTAGACCATCTAGAAAATACAAAAGGCTTTTCATTACGGTCGCTCAAGTATTTGGTTATGGACGAGGCCGATCGACTACTTGACCTAGATTTCGGACCCATTCTCGACAAAATCCTGAAAGTCTTACCCCGAGAGCGACGAACATATCTCTTTTCCGCGACTATCAGTTCTAAAGTCGAAAGTCTTCAACGAGCAAGTTTGAAGGACCCATTACGAGTAAGCATCAGCAGCAACAAATATCAGACTGTCTCGACTCTTATTCAAAACTACATTTTCATACCATTAGTTCACAAGGATACATACTTAATCTATCTTTTGAACGAGTTTGCAGGTCAATCCGCCATCATTTTTACACGGACAGTCAACGAGACGCAGCGAATAGCAATTTTGTTACGAACGCTTGGATTCGGAGCCATTCCACTGCATGGACAACTTTCACAATCTTCTCGCTTAGGTGCTTTGAATAAGTTTCGTGCAGGTTCAAGAGAAATCCTTGTTGCAACGGATGTCGCTGCTCGTGGTTTGGATATCCCCTCGGTTGATGTAGTGTTGAACTACGACATTTCACAGGACAGTAAAACATACATTCATAGAGTTGGACGTACTGCTCGTGCAGGAAAATCCGGACACGCAATTAGTTTTGTGACTCAGTATGATTTGGAGATTTGGTTGCGTATCGAGGCAGCATTAGGAAAGAAGCAGGAGGAATACCCGACGGTGAAGGATGAAGTTATGGTCTTCAAACCTAGGGTAGAAGAAGCTCAAAGACATGCTAGGAATGAGATGAAGAATTTGCACGAGGATAGAGGTAAGAAGGGCGCAGTATTGAAAGGAAGAAGACCTGCCAACGGTGCTAAAAGAGGTCGTGATGAAATGGATAGAGAAGAAGGCTAGACCTGCACATGTATGTGATTGTGGGAAAATAAAAGGACCAATACTTAATGTAATATTCAGTGTATTTCAAATTTATTGACAGCTTTTTGAATTGCTTGCCATCCATTGATCATGATATTGCTTTGCCCTACAATGTCTCGAGAATGTGCAGCCCCGGTGAGCCTACATCTCGGTGATTGCGTTCGCCGAGCCGAGATGCGCCAAAAAATCTGGGGTAGCGGGGCAATAATTACAGTTAACAGCACTCGGAATCAAGCTCTGATCAACCTCTATTTTACATTGATTGTTATCATGACTACTTCGCTTTGTTCACGGTCGCTCCTTAAAGCTTCCCGTGTATTATGGCGTTCCGATGGCTTCACTTCAGCCACTAGGCATATCAGACGCAGAGGATTGGCAGATGCCTCTACGAATGACATGACACTACCTCTGAAAGGGTACAAAGTATTGGATATGACTCGGGTCCTTGCAGGTGTAAGTCCAAAATATTAACAGCTATATAACCCTTTCCTAACCATTGACAGCCATACTGCACACAAATATTAGGAGATCTTGGGTATGATTTGGCATTCCTTATGTCGTTATCTAAGCTCATAAATATAGTGCAGAAGTAATTAAAATCGAGCATCCGACGAAAGGTGATGATACTAGACACTGGGGACCTCCCTATGCAAAATACTTGGATGGATCAGGGAAAGAAGGGCCTGGAGAAAGTGCATACTTTTTTGCTGTAGCTTGACCTCATATTCCAATACACCGCAAGTTTCACAGCTCACCAATTACCAGGTTAACCGGAACAAGAAGTCCCTCGGGTTGTCGTTTAAACATCCATCGGCAGTCAAAATCCTCCATAAGCTCGCTGCAGAAAGTGATATTCTTGTTGAGAACTATCTACCAGGTTCACTGAAGAAATATGGGATGGACTACGAAACACTGAGAGAGATAAATCCACGACTGATATACGCTTCTATCACCGGCTATGGTCAAACTGGTCCATATCGAAACCGAGCCGGATACGATGTTATGGTTGAAGCTGAGATGGGATTGATGCACATCACTGGAAGTAGGGACGGACCTCCCGTGAAAGTGGGGGTTGCCGTAACGGATTTGACGACTGGCTTGTATACTAGTAACAGTATTATGGCTGCTTTACTGGCAAGAGGAAGAACAGGACGGGGGCAGCACATTGATGTTGCCCTATCAGACTGTCAAGTTGCCACATTATCGAATCTGGCGAGTTCGTGTTTGATAAGTGGGGAGAAGGATGAAGGGAGATGGGGCACTGCTCATCGTAAGTGATTCCAGCTCTTGTCGACAACTTTATCCAATAACAGTGCTAGCATCTATCGTACCATATCGTTCGTATAAGACGAAAGATGGTGATATTTTGTTCGGTGGAGGGAATGATAGATTATTCGGACTTCTATGCAATGGCCTTGGACGCCCAGAGTGGAAAGAGGATCCCAGATTTGTCGTTAACACAGCAAGAGTTGCCCATCGAGCAGAGTTAGACAGCTCGATAGAGAAGATCACTCAAGACAAAACTACCAAAGAATGGCAGGATATTTTTGAGGGATCCGGATTACCTTATGCAGCTATCAATGATGTCCAAGGAACATTGAATCATGAGCACGTGTTAGCAAGAGATATGGTAAAAGAGATGAATCACGAATATTGTGGCCCTATTAAGATGGTCAACACTCCTGTAAAATACAGTGAGAGCAAGCCGAGTATACGAACAGTACCTCCTATGCTAGGACAACATACAGATGAGATTCTTCGAGATATTTTAGGGATGGATGAATCTGATATTGAAGCATTGAAGGCCGAAGGAGCTGTAAGATAGAATTATATAGATATCCTAGACATTCAAATACTATAATTGCCCTCTATAGATGTCGTTGGGTCTTGTTGCTCTTCAACACACAAGGCATTAGGCTAATTTGTAGGGAGGAGTTCAATGCGATTTTATCTCATCACATGATTTTTAAACATGTGATTGCCAGTTTATTCATCACCAGACCACTTTTGTACTCTCTCATAACGACATCTACAAGTCCTTCTTAGAGCATCAACTCCTACACTTTTCGACAGGCTGAAGCCGTATGTTCAGAAGCTCCGTCATAATTATATTTTGCTGGGATCTATCAGTGCGCGTGCCAACACGTCCAGTACATCAATTGTTTTTGGCCCTTACCATTCAAAATATCACGGCATTCAATTAGTCAATTGACTTCGGTCAATCAGAACTTTACTCTTTCAATCTAGCTCATTGATTCTAGACATTCATCACGTTTGCTGCGGCACGGTAGCTTTGTTAATTCTCGCCGGCGCAAATATCGTTGCCTCCACTGAATATCAAGCAACCACGACAGACATGGACGCGCCAAATGATGCTCCAGCTTCTGCAAATGGACCAAATGATACAACCATGGGCGAGTCGTCCCCTCCTAAATATGTCCCTCAATTCTCTGCCGCGACCGAAATGATTCTTCAACGCATGAGAGCAGGATTATCTGGTGGGCTATCTAGTATTGGCATTACAGGGACACCACCGGGCTATGAAGAAATGCGTAGGAACGTCATGTCGGGGATGAAAACTACGCAGAATATGCAAATAACTACACCACCACCAAGATATCAAACTAGCAAAAAGTCGACGCCCAAATCCAATGCTACACCCAGAACACCTAAAGTTGAGTCTCCGACTGTATCATCAAATAGTGCAGGAACCAAAAAGAAGCGAAAAGGACTCAAGACAGGACAAAAGCGTAAGAGAGTCAAGGATGATAGCGAAAGTGCGGATGAATCTGAAGCTTTGAGTGGTCTAGGCGGAGATTCGGACTCGGATGATTCAAGCAGTGCGATGGAAATGCCAAAAATTACACAAAGCGGAAGACAAATAGTGAAGCCAACTCAATTCGTACCTACCTTGCCTGAGACGAGCTCACGGAAACGATCCTCTACGTCAACAAATAAACGAACCCAAAATCAAGAACAAGCATTATGCAAGAGATGCGGTAGGGGCAATAGCCCTCAGAACAATATGATAGTTTTCTGTGATGGGTGCAATCTAGGGTGGCATCAAATGTGCCATGACCCTATAGTTTCAGAAGAAGAGGTGAAGGATGAACAGGCACCATGGTATTGTAATGATTGCGCAAGAAAGAGGGGTATTAAACCGGCACCATCTAAGACTGACGGTGTTAGCTGGGCCGGCAAAACACTCGATCAGGTATTTGTTTCATTTTGCTTTCATACACTAAACGTGCCAGCTAACAATATCCTGCAGAGGAGGGCATACCTAGCTTTACTGCCTCATCCCCAGCTAGTAGAGCTCCTGATTAAAGCTTCCATTCTGTACCCAGATATGCCTATATTCCCCGTCAATGCTCCGCCCCTCCAACCCCGCCAATCACAGAATTCATCTCGCCCCACAGCCAATCACATCACACAACCATTTCCTCCCTCCGCCACCTCCACAGCGGGTCTTTTCTCTCGTGCAGAATCAAATCCCAACGCACCAATGAACTTCATTCGCAAAGTTGCTTCCAATTCCACAGCCTCTAACATCAATCCTTCGCCAATGTTTGCCTCGTCATTCCCTCCGGCACCAGCTTTCACTCATGCTTCTTCCGCTCCGCCAACACTACCTCCACAGGCTTCGTCAAACCTGGAGTCAAATGGGAATACAAATGGGATGGAAAATGGCCAGGAAGTGTCTCAGGAAAGCAGAGAGTCCACACCAAATAGTCCACCATATCCCAAAGCTGGAACGGGTCTTATGAGTAAATTAGGCCCAGATGATGAGGATATAGAATGGTTGGTTGATAATGATGATTACGAGGCTTTTAGTCACACAGTATACGAAGATCATGGAGAAAGGGATTCTGGAGTTATATGAAGAGTGATTGTGTATAATTAATCAAGCCCGAAGCCGAAGAGTATATTAAGTAAGACAGGAGTTGACAGTAGATTTTTCTGAGGGTCCATAAGTCTTCGCGGGAAAAGCTCTTGTGGATAGATATGTATATCCTGAGCTGGCTTGGTGTACAGCTGCTTATGCTTCATTTATTGCTCGCGCCGGAAAGACATGTACATTATATTCCCGATTGGGTATTGCTAGCAGTGTGTGTATACATTTGGCATTATGTGTTTGGGCAATAAAAGAGAGATCGCTTCAAACGATGATTGCTTAGATGCTTCGAGGATTATGTCTAGCTCGACATCTGGGAAAGGTGATTCAAAAATGGAGATGTAATGTTAATGGGCTGAATTATGTTCTATGAATGCAAGTCATGATTCTCATAATTCATGTCGATGCTTCTGGTGTTTTACTTTCATGATAGGATGTGTTATGAGTTGGTACAGAGCTGAAGATGCGGACATGATCTTCAGCTGAGTTCATTCATCCTGGAAGGCCAAAGGGCAAGCTCTTGACATACTTGCTGTTCATATTCCAAGCATGTAGAGATAAGATACAATGCTGGGATAGTGGCTCAACTAACTCGGAGGAAGGGCGGGAGTTGAGGGGGAGGAGATAGGGACGATGAGAAGAGAGGGCGATGGACGGGGCCGAATGGGCATTCTAGTTCAAATAGAAAAAGGGAGAAGATAGAAAGCCAGATATTTCAAAGTATACTACTCCTTTGAGAAAGAAAATACGATGAGAAGTTTGAATCACTGATGAATGACGGTTTGTGATTAGTAAGCATGAAAACCCAATTACCACAGGAAGCCAATGCGTGCAACTTCCCTCGTCCATATGCATCCAGCCATCAATTCCCCATTCTCCGCCAAAGCTTGCTGCTTCAATGCTCGAGTGAAAGCCTCTGTGGATGATTTGACTGTTCAAGTGGCAGAAGTATGATGGTACAAGATTCTGTCATCAATAAATTCCGCTTCCTCTATACCAAACAGCAGTCTGGCCCAACTTTTCAGATTCTGTCTGATCTACATCTTGAAGTCTGCTCACAATATTATACGTTTGCGATTTCACCTGTGGTACCCTACCTAATTCTAGCAGGAGGCGTTGGGCGCCTTATTGATTATGAGGGTTACCTAGCATTTCTTGCAAAGCAAACCTCGCAATTCGAAAAGGTTTTCCTAGTTCTTGGAAATCACGAGTTTTACCACCTCTCACACACCAGCGCTTTGGAACAAGCTCAAAGACTCGAGAAAGAAGCAGTTCTGAACGGTAAACTTGTTTTATGTCATCAGAAACGATGGGATATTGAATTTGGAGATTTACAGACCGCGATTCCTGGTTGTACACTTTGGTCTAAAATCGATGATGGCGCAAGAGAAGCAGTTCAAAAAAGGATAAAGGATCTCGAAAAGATAGATAATTGGTCGATTGATGACCATAACACTGCACACATACCTGATCTTACATGGCTTTCCAACCAAGTTTCGATCATTCAGAACCAAAACAAATCTAGGGTCGAAGGAGAACCTGAGAGGAAGATTTTGGTGATCACACATCATGCGCCGACAATACATAGTACATCTAGTCCCAAGAACTCTAACAATCCTTGGGGCTCAGCATTTGCTACTGAGCTACCTGGGGATTCAAGTATGGGCTGGGTTGATGTGAAAGTATGGGTTTTTGGACATACACATTTTACAACGGACTTTGAGAAAAACGGTATACGAGTTTTAAGCAACCAGAGAGGTTATGTACTTCCAGGAAGTGAAGGAAAGAAAGATGAAGAATTTAGGGAACCCGCCTTGGATTCGAAGAAAGTATTTGGTATCTAATCATATTCTTGATTCCACTGGGACCGATACATTATCCACAATGGATATCGAACGAGAGATAACTGAAGCTCATCTTTGGCATTCGTGTTGGACTTTCCCTGCAATACATTTGATCATTCCTCTTGATAGCCCTTAATATCTTCAAATTCGAGCTCAGCCACAGGTTGGAGATTGAAATATCAAAATCTCTTTTTTGAATTTTCCGAATATTCTTTTGTTCTTACAATTTTGCTCGCATTTTGGCAAGCTTTTCATTATTCTCATTTAGTGAGTGACGTTGACTTATTTGACTAGGTAAGCATATCGTACCTTCCTCTTGGAAGTTTGGTACCAGAGGCCTACTTTAACCTTACCCCACTTCCACAATTCATTGCCTTCCTTTTCAACTATCTAATGTCAATGATACATTGCTCGTGGTCCTAGATGGAATAGTATTTTCCTCTCTCAAACTTCATTTTTTCATGCACAAATAATATTCTAGAAGCTTCACTTCTCAACCAAATAATCATAGTCACTCGCAAATATGGACTGGCCAGACATAATACTCCAAGGGTGTGCTTTGATCGGACTCCAAGTCTACTGTTGGACTTCCTGGAGGATCTTCATCAACCATGCAGCTGTTGCGGCTCCGATTTGGAGCGTTCCTGGACTTACAATTGGGCTCCTAGCCGCCGCTTCCATATTGGAACAGGTATGTCTTCACAATTCTCATTGTCTGTATTCGCTGTGCGCTTTACTATGCTTTACAATTGCTGAAGAATTTTTAGATCATTGGGATGACTGTATTCCTCTACAAACACCACGATAACAAGTCTTTGGCATTCGAAAACATTGTTTCATCTTCTATTATCAATGTTTTCGCTGCCTTTTTGATCGCTTTTGACTACCACAGAAACGAGAATGTCATGCTGTTCCACCTAGAAAGTGCGAAATCATTTATAGTTGTATCTTATGCAGCTCTTGCGGTTGTGAGTGTTCCTACCTTGACTGCATTCGTTGTGATACCAGCTCCAGTGATGTACAGCTTCGTTATTAGTCACACAGCCATTTGTGCTTTCCTGGGTTACGGCAAGAGTATAGATGAACGCGGGCCTATTCTAGGAGTACAGTGGTCGTTTAAAAAGGACTTGAACAAAAATCCATCTGGAGTGAAGCCAATTTCGACTGCTTCTCTACATTCTCTTGAAGAGAAGCCAAACTCTGTAAGCCCCGGTCTCAATTTGCGTATCTATTATGATTCTGGCTGATTTGAACCAGAATGATCAGGATAGAGCTGCATCAGAAGATTCGGTCATCATTGCGCCACCTGATCCCAATATTTCAAGCACCGATTCAGAACCAGAACCCCAAATCTTGGGAATAAATATGGCTTGGGCGATATCAAGTCTTATCTTGTATTTAGCTTGTACGATTGTATCGTCAAGGAGCATTCAAAACCTGGATCTGGCCGCTTCTAAAAGAGATATGACTACAAGTTGTCTTCTCTTTGCCACACGGAAAATATTATCATGTCACCTTATTACTCTTGCAGCCAAGAAGAGCGGTTGTGTTGGGAGTGCCGTAGAGGACATGGCCTCTTTCAATGGTTGGCTTTATTTAATGGCTCGAGAGTGTGCAGCTCAGAACCAAAAAGCCCCCACAGGCACTCTGAATTGGACAGAGCTCGCTGTTTTCATCCTTGAGGGTAGCGTATTGATACCAGCTGTGGCACGTTATCCAGGGGGAATGCTGGCCGCAACTTTCATGCTCGTGAATTGGTTGGGCTTTTTAAAGTCTAGCATTCGTGCAGCTTCATCAGGAACAGTTACCGAAAATTAGTAGCCTCACATACAATGGCGGTATTTCAACCACAATAGTAAAGATTGATTCAATGTCTCAGCTCAAGGATGATAATCATCATCTCCGCTCAAAGGTCTTTGATGTAGGGCAGCGAAAAGGGAGGCGTTAACGTCGAACAAGGCTCAAATGCGACTGTTATCTGAGCGTTGATATCACGCACAAAAATGAGTGAGCTCTTACGAGCTTTGAATAATAAGCCAGCAAATGTAAACATTAATCGATTTCATTAACTTTATTTATTTTATATATCAAGTAACCACCGTCTCCATGGTATCAAAGTATGCACGCAACACCCTTATATCCACAAAAGCAGAACACCATCCACCCCACGGAAATGCATGATTATCCAAACACCTCCCAATGCCCATAATATCCTAAAAACGCCCAATATACTTAATACACTTATACACAACCCAGAAAATTCCCACCTTTTAAAATGCCATTCTCTCTCTAATAGCTCCTAGACCCACATTATCATAAAGGCGGCCGATCATAATATACATCAAACTCCTGTTTGACCCGAATCCCATCTCTCATTTGCCCCCCTTGACGCTCTTTATCTTCCTCGGGACTCATCTGCATGTGTCCCACATGCATATTAGCTATGTGCACACGCTCGGGCGCGCGAAATGGTTGTTTGAACACGGGAGCTTTGAAGATCCGCTCGTGAGACGAAGAACGGAATTTTGAGAGACCGAGACCGAAACGACCCTCGGCTTGCTCTGAGAATTGACGGTCCGGATCGCGTTCTTGGGGTTGTAGGGAGTGAGAAGGTGCTGAGGAAGATTGGGAGTGTGGGTACGATTGAGTTGAGGGGGGAGGAGGAGAGACATCTCTCCGTCCGAGAAATAAACCGGCGTCGGAGCCTAGTCGCTTGAATCGACCCTGCATTCCTCGGAATCCGTCGCCGATGCCGTGGTAGCGTCCTCCGGTACTTCCATTTCCATTTTCGCTACCGCTGCTGGTCTCGCTGGTTTGCTGGAGCTCGATATCGTCGTGCAAGGTTCGGGCGTGCTCTTCGGGGGAATTAAGACCGTCTTTTTGATCTTGCGGCATGTTTCGCGAGGGGTGGAGGATTATGTTGAAGAGGGGTCGACAGGCGGGGAGACAAGCGGCAATTATATACATGCTCGTTTCAAGGATGGTGTATAAGGCAAGATCGACGGCTGCGCGGGGAGTATCTGGGAATAAGGATTGATTCGCAAAAGAGACGAAACGAAGAATAGATGTGGCGAGACCGCTTGGGAAATGTTAGTTGGATTTTCGGGGAGGGGAAATAGATTTATGTACCTTGATCCGGTGAGTAAAGTAACACCCAACCCGATCTTCACCTTCCTCGTCATGTTGAGTCTGAAAATAAAGGGTAATGGTAATAGTAACATAACGATATCGGTTATAATGTTCGGTAAACTAGCATATAAAAATAGCTTTTCGATATCAAAATGACATTTTCCTCCCACAATTGTTTTGTCCCAGAAGTAATCAACGGGCGTGCACTGGAAGAGCATCATCATGAATAAAATAGTGGATGATATGACGAGGATATAGATCACAAAGTAGGTTATCATGCGGTAGAATGGAACCGTGAAAATACGGAGATACATGGCGAGGATGGAGAGTTTGGGAAAGGTGACAGCGATGGCGTAGGTGGCGGGGAAGAACATTAAGAGTTTGTATAGGGCGAGGAGTTTGGAGGGAGCGCTCAGCTCAATAGCTTCAATATGGTGGCCTACTCCGCAGTAATTTATTCCGACTATAAATTGTGATTGTTAGACATAAATCCCCTTAAATGTGAAGATCCTTGAGACATAAAATTATACACGTACCGAGACCCTGAGCAGCAAGCAACACGGAAAATATTAAGGCTGGCACCATAAGAAAATCATCCCAACCCCGCGGTGTATGGTGAAGCCACCTGGAAAAAAATCTCGCAAAGACGAAGAATATATTCAATATAATACAAGCGATACAAGTAACGACGAGTTTGTGTCCGTTATAATTTTCCAGGTATCCGGGTGGAAATTGTGCTGCGGCGGCTTGTGCGTCCATCGTGTCTATTATTTATATATTTCCGAATTCTTCTGAGGGATTCCTTATTATGTACAACCGTTTGCTGAATACCCTTTGACTGAAAGGAGCTGAGGAAATAATCAAAATTGGACGGATAGATGCTTCTTATCGTTCATCAGTCGATTCGATCACTAGATTTCGCTCTGTCTGTCCAATTTCACCTGCCCACTGTTGAGAATATTATTCGAAGCATTTCTGAATTGACCAACAACAAACAAAAAATGTATAGAAAAGGATGCGGTGAGAGACTTTGCAAAAGCGTAAAAAGAGAGCACAAAAAAAGAGTACCATGAGGAAATATCGAGATAGATATGAATCTTCTCCAACACGTATGTAGACCGCAATTGCCAACCGGAAGGACCGAAAGAAAACAAGCAGACCCTCAAAAATACTCTATCTTCGCCCGAACAAATCGAACTGGTCTGATCCTCCAAATTTCAAATGGCACAACAGGTATCTGCATCTCCATAATCTTGCGGGTATGCCATTGGTTCGATTAACCCTGGCGCGTCCCCCGTGTCATCCTCGTAGCTCCCATACGACACCACTACGGAGGCTGCACACACCCAACTTCCCCATTTTCCTTACTACCACTCTCCACTATCTCATGCTGAACAAGGAAGCTCTGAACAAGCGCATAGCGTAAGCTGGAAGCTATGTTGCCAGGGCAAGTGGCTAGTGCCTACGGATCTGTATTGTAAGCGATGTCACATATGCGCCGCAGGGTCGCAGCCTTGCAGGAATACGGTTGTGGTTGCGTTTGCATGGGCAATGAGGGCAAACAGCGTTTAGATTGGTTGGTGATTTTGTGCAAATACCTGGCCGATAATGCAGTTGTGTGGCGATGCTGTTGAAGAAAGTTGGTTTTGAAGATATGATCTGGGAGCTGAAAAATGAATGGCGCAATTGCATTAAATAGGGGGTCCAGTTCAAGATTCAAATGTCAGTGCTAGAAAGTCAAATCTTTGACCACCATCTATGATTTGCTAAACCCTCTTGACCAAATCGAATAGATGATTGCTTCTTCTTTGCATACGGGACGGAAACTTTGAGTTTGAAAAAAGTAAGCAATGAGTTCCTCACTAATCTCACCACCTGTCGATGTCCCAAATGAGATGAGATCCTTTCCCTGGTACTAATCAGTGATCATTCTGTAGCTCTGCTTTACGATTTGCTATGATTCATCTATCTACTCCGTTTGAATAATTTACAATCCCAGCATCACACGTGGATGTATGGTTACATGCATGGCTGACCGTCATGGAGTCCTGGTCAGATACCTGTATGTAGTTTAGTCGACCCGATTCGGTGACCTGTCCGACAGGACCTCGAATCCTTTCACGTCTGGACCTCCGAGATGGAAGACGGGAAGTCAGGAAATCAGGAACGAAAGATACAATAGTCCAGAAGCTATGCTTGCTTGGTGGAATGAACGGTCAATTGTAAGTACCCATCGTATTCATGTGCTCGGTGTCGATATCATATCTTCTTTTTCCAAAAGTCTCTCATGCCAAATTCATTATCTAGATCTTCAATCAAGGGGGAAACAGATAAATATGCAAATATACGGCCGTATATTCTGAAGTTTTAACGATTACATCGTCCACCAACCGTTATTTCTCCGTTCCAATTATAGCAATTCAATTGAATCTAATTCTTCAGCATTCCCACTCCCATCGAACCATCAAAGATAACACAATACCCAAAATCGTATCCACTGTAAGAAATGCTAACCTTTCTCTTTAATTTCCTAGCAACCGCTATGTTGGTAAGGAATATCACTCGCGCAACATTTACGGAGTCACCAGCAGTTGCCCGCTTCTTTCTTATCCGTCAAATCTCATGGCCTCGGTTCGGGATCTACAACCCTGTTCGCGAATGTTGATAGGCAACCGTTTTGGGTGATCATTCATAAATCAGGATTCGACCGTGAAAATAATCACGATTTTCTAGAAGCTTTTTACGAAATTGCCACATGTTTCGAAGGATGTGATGCGGATATAAGGTTATTCAGCACGTGGAATGCAATTCCTGGTGTCTTTGAGGCAAACTTAATCAGAACCTCTCCACAATTATATTGGTGTTAAAATTGGACTTTTGGGATGGAAAGGTAATACTTTGTCATCTAAGTATTAAGTAGCAAAGGATTTGAATAGTCAGAGGAAATGCTATCTCACCGGACATTTTTTTGAGATACGAAATACGATCAATGGTCAAGGACAGCAAGGACAGCAAGGACAGCATCGGAAATCCTGATGACCTTTCGGCGTTTGTCTCTATACCTCGAGGAGCAACAGCACTGATATCAGGAAGCCCAATGATCAATCCTTATATTCCTAGTCGAAATTCCGCTCACACAAAAGTCCTGGTGCTAATCTGATCGGAGATAAGTAATCGAGTAACGAAAGGTTCCTGATTAAACGTTGTAACAATGGACAAACCCCTCCTTGAACAATATGCATATTCGGAACCACGAGGATGCCATCAACTCTTCAAACATCTCAATCATCAACTTCCCGTCCCGTATGTAAACCATCCTAGCCATTTCACTGATCACCAATAGTCCATTCCCATCCGAAGCGCGCAACCCAAAGACAGACCCACCATACGGCACGCATTGTCCAGACTCCACCCTCAATCCACCCCCACATTATCCATAAAAGTTTTCTGCAGGTGATGTGAATCATTTTTTTGCTTGCCTGCAATTCTTTCCCTTGCCTTCCACCTCAATCTCCATCTTCAATTCCGCACATTTGTTCCGTCCACGCACATCCAAGATTCTCGTGTCGCCGCAGCCGCACGCCCCAGTCCCACTCATAATCTTGCACATCTCAACCGCAGCCATGATCACAACCCAAAGCTCGAGCCTCAATATCATGGATCCCAAGTCAAATATATACAAGCGCTAA